TATTTACTATTTCTTAGGTATTTTTTCTCTTGGTGTAGAAGGACGCATTTTGAACCATCGTGTCGAAAACCGGCAATTACGACTTAATCGAGTTGCCACGCTCCGAGCCTTACGACTTCATTCACCGCGAAAGCAGATTTGCTTGAGTCCCGAACAAAAGTCAAAATTTTTACGCGGCCTAAGTTGATAACTCAACCTTGTCTACCTGCGATATATAAAAGATTTTACACGCAAGAAGCGACATATTTCTCCGGCACATCTTATCTTACTTTTTCCGCAGACTATGAAATTTCACAGTTCTCTTCCTTAAAATTGACAGAAGGATGAAAATGGTGTTAAAATTCCTAAAGAAGAAGACATTTTTAGGCTAAACAAACACCATACGGTTCAACAGAAATCGCAAATACACGTTAAACATCTTTCCAGACGCACTACGTACCGCACATAATTATAACGAAGAATCTCTCTTTCTGTCTCTCTATCTCTCTCCAACTCTCTTCTCTTCATTTTATCGTTGTTTTTTCTCTTTCTCGCTCTTTCTGCGCATCTTATTCTCTCTTTCGGTCGACCTAGAGCGTACGAAAGCAAGAAGACGCCGTAGCAGCACTATGTCACGCTTGCCTTCGTAGGTGTGTCTACTTTGAAGTTTCGCGGATCCGCGTTAATGCCTGTGTATATGTGTGTGCGCGTTGTGTCTACCGAGCTACCGTTCAAAATCTTTGTCTCCAATTGGGCGATTAATATACGTCGTTTTTCACGGAGCAAAACGTACGGAGGGGAAAGAGAATGCGGGATTTATGTGGACGCAAACGCAAACGCGACATATCTCCTCGGCTTTGTCGCGACGCATTTACCAATTTTAGAATTTTTCGTCCCCTTGTAAACTTATCTGCTTGCGCTGCGCGTTTCTCCGTCAAGGTTGCAAGGCTGTGCGCTATGGGGAAATGTAAAAAGCGTGAACCGCACCTAGGTTATTTGAGGATAATGGGAATACGCAACCTATTTCATGCATCCTGCCGTGCCTTGTCCGGTCGGTAGTATCGAGTCAACGTTATAATTCAAGTGTCGATCGAACGACAGAAAGTAGCATTTTGATTTATCGATGACAATGCTAAGCTTCCTTCTAAAAGTAAGACGTCCCAAGCAAACAACGGTATTTTTAGCTCTTATCAACGTAATATCTTTATCATTAAAAATGGAAATCGAATCTACTGCATAATTATTTTTCAATTAGTTACTTCCTATATTAGAATGCTCTACATATGTTTCGCGGCGATGAGGATGCTAAGCTTAAGCAAGCAGTATCCTCAATTTAAGATCAATTTTCAGCAACTAGATGTGAGATGGCAAGTAAATTCGGAAATACGGCGACCAATTAGGAAATAATTAGCATTTAATTACGCGACAAATTCGATATTTATTTTTAGGAAAGAGAGAGAGTGTGTATGGGGGGAGGGAGAGGGACAAAAAAGACAGAGAAAGAGAGAGTAGAGAGAACAGAGAAGAAGAGAAACGAAGAGGCCGTCGTGGAGGTGGTGGTAAGTCGTTTTGTGTCTGCAACTCGTCTAAATATATACGATCCTCTCCTCGGCGGTGCAGCCTTTCTCAAAGGAACGGGAGAGACGTGTACGAGCTGTCTCGATTTTAGAGAAATCTCCATGCATCTCGCGTAAGAAGGGCGGAAAGGTAAAAACTCGCGCGATACACGCGACCGATCTATTGTAGCTCAGACCAGATGTCGTATTGTGCGCTCGCGAGCCGCTTCTTTCGATAAGTATCTTACGATGATTATTTGAATTGCCCTTTGAGAGCACGATATAATTTTCCAGCGGATACACTGACGATTGCTCAGCCCTTAGATCGAAGATTGTTTAGCTCTCTCGCAGGTCTTTCGGGTTAGTTTTGCTTATACAAGTTACACAAGTTCTTTTGAATATGTTTATACCTTCTGCGTTTGCTAATTGAATTTTTAACACGTCACGCGTGTTTCGCGTGTGGACGAATTAATAGAGCGCAGTAATTTCCATTCTTGCGTTGCTGACGGATGCAATCACGAATTCGCGCTCTCAGTCGTCTTCCTTTTCCATTCTCGCTTCTTTCTCGCTCTCGCTATAGATCACGCGATAATCAAGCGTATCCGGAAGTGAAGTGACGACGACTGTGCGGAGATGACGACGCGCGAGGTGGACGAGAGGCGAACTGGACGGCGCGCATCTTACGCGTTGCGAGCGCGACGTGTAACGCCATCGTTTACCTACTTTAAGGAAGAGAAAAAAAAACGCATTGGCTTACTTCTTTAATGCACAACGGCGGCGTTGTCTTCGTGGCTGCAGCCAATTAGTCGCGAATCTTGTACGGAGGATCGGGTGCTCGACGAGGATCGCGAGGGCGAGCATGCGAGAGAAAAAGGTTCGATCGTGCCGCGGCAGCATGTGAATAAAGTCCATTTACGTGAGATTTTCAGACGTTTTTAAACACACGTTTCCGAGGTAATCTGCCATCGTATAAAACCGGACAGAAATTGGTCAAGTGTACGCGAATACCGAGAACAGCGACGCGTGTTTATTCCGAAGCCATTTTGCACCAACGAAAATCTCCCCCTGTCCGTTCGTCGTTTCTTCTTGTCAATCTGTGCATTCAGATTAAACCTTTACGCTCCGCAGATCTTTATATGACGTCGCCTGTTCGCTTGTAAACATCGTCAAATTAAATTTAAAAAATTCGTTCATGAGACAGTCGGTTATAGAGTGTAATTTTACTTTAATTCAGCAAAATTTATTGTCGTTACTGCCAATTGGCACCATTGGAGTAGAATGCAAAAGAAATCTCAGAATCAACCAGGTTGATATTTGGAGCACAAAGGGTTAATATATGCACAAAACGGCTCTTTCGAAAGTGGACGTCCGAGAACGCTCATTAATTCACGTGTACAAAGCAACGCAAGTTTTGCTCGATCGAAAGAATAAAAAGAAGGGGACCCTTTATAATCAGTTTGACAGGCGCTATTTTCGCGATGCAAGTAAATTATAAATCAAAATCACTTCGGTGATCGCGAGTTCCACCGAACAAAGTGTCGTATATTTAGAGTTATCGCGCGCGTTGCAGAGCAAGCCGGTCGCATTATCGGCATCTACGATTTGAGGGGAGAGAAAAAATCCCGGGAAGATGTCGTTCTCGCCGCTGAAAAGGCACCTAATGTTTATATCTACGACGTCGAGTCACGTGTGAGACTCGTCGTGGTCCACTGTCGCCACCTCGGCGATAAATACTAATTGAGATTAGCATCAGCGACCGTGCGCTGCGCTCAACAGGTGTCTTACGGAGTCCTTGGGCCAAAGAAATACGATCTGAGCGAAAAATCCTCAAGAACGAAAGAAAGAAGGAAGGAGAGAATAACGTGGTATTCAATGCCGACTTTAAGATAAAGGTACCAATACTTGGACACTAATAACACTGGTATCTAACTTTAGATATTCTTATTGCTTTGGTCTTCTCTCAAGCACGGACATTTAAACTTTCAATAGAGAGAATACACACACACTGGATATACACATACATTCTACGTTAGAAGTTTAAATACTTATACTTAATGCAAACCAAAACAATAAGAATATCCAGAGTTAGATATCAATGTTATTAGTGTCCAGGCATTGGTACTTTTATCTTAAAAGCTGCACGCCGCGAAGTGTCGTCTAAACAGCTGTTTCTCGACACGCACGAATATACATCGGACGTCGCAGATATCCTCGCGTTATTGGACGAATACTTTGTGAAAATAATTTCCCAAAATGTTTTGTATCGTCGTACAATCGTCGCGCAATATTCGTAAATTATGTTAAACAGGATAGATAATGTTGCTTCAAGACGCCTTAGATCCTGAACGAAAGAAAACCTTGCGCGTCTAAACCAGGAAAACTGGATATGTGACGGAGTTGGTGACGAAAGAGATGAATAGAAAAAGAGAAAGAAAAAGAGAGAGAGAGAGATAAGGCGAAAATAAACTAGAGCAGGTAAGAAGAAATTAAGAGAAGAATCTGTGTAACAAGAACGAATGGATCGGTGGTGGTAGGAGAAAGGAGAGACGTGCGAACAAGCTGGTGGACACTGCTAGATCTTTATCCTTATCCTTGATCGCGTGTTGTACATTTTCTACAAACACAATTCCTTAATTCTACGATTCTTATTAGTAATGAATCACGATGAAACAACGAGAGAGAAACTTGGCTGAGAATGACTGTCTCTGCGGACAATAGCACGAATCCGGATACACGCACGAGTTCGTCTATAGATCCAAGTGCAGACGTAAAGCGAATTTACACGAGTGAATGCAGACGAAGGCCGCGTGACAGCGCGTGGCAGCGGTAACGAGCGATATAAACACACGAGAGATCGAAGGAGGAGAACACGGAGTTTACACGGTGAAAGCGGTAATTTCGTATAGCCACCGCGTCGCGGCTACCGAAGTCGCGCGAGAGTCACTGAGTACGCCGAAAAAAGCCTCCTTACAATCGGCCGATGTTACACAGTCGAGGATATTACGCGGGGAGCCGCATACACGAGTATCGATATTCACGCTCCATTTTTTTCGTGTGCGTCTCTCTTTCTCATTATGTAAGACCGCACTCGGAGAACCATGCGAGCACCATCGAAGCACGCCGCTGTCTAACCTTTAAAGGACAAGCGAACCACTCGCGATACCGCCGGTGAAATCAAGCGCTAAACGTGAAGTGATCGGCTCTCATCGAGAGCCAAGACGACGACAATCACGACGACTACATAGTCTTTCCCATTTTGACGTTTTTCCGGTTGCGATCGCGCCGGTCGAAGTAGAAATCGTTATTGCAGTTAAAAAAGAAACGGAGTATATCGTAGAGTAAGGTCTATCACCATCAACTTCGTATGAACCTTAATCCAAGCTCGAGTCTTCATCGGAATAGAGTCGAAACTCAGATTGTGGTTCAATCGACGTCGGTGGAAGCGAGTGTAAGAGAGAAACTTACCGGCGGCACGATGCGGTCTCCTCGCCCAGTCGTCCTCTATCAAAGGTGCGACCTGCCGCGCGTATAACGTCAACACGTTCAACAGGAGGCAGAGCGCGAAGTTGAGCAGGATCGGTAATATCAGGCCACTGAGAAACTGCATCTTAGCGGCTTTCGGTGTGTATCGCGACCACCCTTTTCTCTTCTCCTCTTCTATCGTTTTATCAGCCAGTTGCTCTCTCGCACTCTGTTCTGGCACTCGCGCGCGGTGCCTTTACGCATATAGCACGCTTCTCCTCTTCTCTCTCTCTCTCTCTCTCTCTTTTGCTCGCTCGCTCGTTCGCTCGCGCGCTCTTTCTCTTTTTCCCTCTTTCTTTCTCGCCTCTGTCCTCCCCACAGTCCCTCTTCCTCGCTCTCCTTATTCGTAGCCGTAGGAGAGCGTAGTCACGGGTACTAGTCTATTAACGACCGTTCACTGCACAAAACTTTCTGCACTATCTCACACCACGTAACCGATTCCCTCGTTGGCGGTGGCGGCGACGAACCGCGTGAAAGAAGATCAACGCCGAGGACGAAGAGAACCGCTGTTACCTGAAAACGTATTATTCCTGTGAATGCGTGTGTATATGTGTGTGTGAGAGATAGAACAAGCGCGCGCGTGAGCCGCTTCTCTCTCTCTTTCTCTCTCTATTGTTGCGCGCCGTGCGTCGCGATAATAGTGCGTGCGCGAAAGTTCAAGACGAAGTTCCTCTCGCGAACTTTCTGCATTACCGCGCGCGCGGCTCCTCCGCTCGCTTGCACGTAACGAAACGAAGCGGCGAACTGCGAGAAAGCCTCACTCGCGCGCTATCGCAACGAAGCAGGCTCGCACGACTCGCGCGATCTCTCGATTCGCGTTCCTCTCGCGCCTCGCGCTTTCGTCGCGCAGCGCGCCGGTCCCGAGCGCGCGATACTGCGCGTACGTTTTATAAGGTGGTAGGTACACGCCGCGAGAGCGCACCGAGAGACGAAGAGACACGGGAGAGCAGAGCAGCGCGGCGTCGTCGGCTTCGCGTCTCTCTCTCTCTCTCTCTCTCTCCCTTTCCCTCTCTCCCTCCTTCTCTCCTTCTCTCCACCGCTCCTCGTCGTTTCGTCTTGTTTCTCGCCCTCCTCCGCCCTCTCGCGCCACCCGTGTATTACGTCTCTGTTATTCTCTTTACCTCCCGACCGTACTCGCCTCTCCTTCACGGAGTAACGCCGGTGCGCATCTGACACGACGACGACGGCGACGACGGCGGTGGCGGCGGCGGCGGCGGCGGCGGCGGCGGCGGCGGCGGCGGCGGCGGCGGCGGCGGC